ACCATCTCAATTTCTTTTGAAGAAATTAATTAGAGAGATGGTAAAGGGTATAGGGTATGGATAGGTGCTTATATTGATATCATGCTTTTGTTTTTTATTAATTTATTATAATTTTTAAAGTCTTTTTGTTTATGACTGCTAGAAGAGAAATTAATCTCAAGCTTGATTTAAGAATATCTTGACCATTTGACATGCATGTGTTCTTGGTATAGCGATAGATGCCATATGGAAAAGTTAAAATTTGAGAATTTTGGATTCTCTTTTTCAAGATTTTGGGGTACAAAATGTATTATTTTTCAACCTAGCATTATCTATTGTTCCCTCTTTAATTCCCCACTCAGCACCTTCTGTGGATTAGTCCCAATTTTTATTTTCATTTTTTGGATATTTATGGTTAGATGCCTTTAGTTAATTTTTGTCCATCTTTATATTAATTTTTGTCATGTTTAAATTGAATTCTTTCAAAGACACATATTTCATATCAATTTGATATATATTTAAAAAATTCAATTTCCTTAAAAGTTGACTTAACCTCATAATAATTGATTTATTAAATAACATTTATGTATTAATAAATTTCACCGTTAGAATTATTATCCCCAATTTTTCATCTCCATCAAATCACCAACTAATCCACCAAGCATCAATGATAACGACACGTATTAGAGCTCAAGCAACCGGACTAAAACGTCCTGATATAATCAAATCACCTTTTGGACTTTAGCAATCAATATTTCACAAGTGTCAACTTGGAAATTAAGGTGCATAATTCTTATTAAAGATATGTAGAAGTAAAAATGGAAGCTAACTGGAATTTGCCTGTAAGGACCCCCCAAGAGGGCCTAATGCTGCAACCATGTCTCCCCATAATCGCCAAAGTTTTCTAACCTGAATCGATACAAATTTCCACAAAGTTATAAAGACCTCACATTGCCGACAAACCCTAAAACTTCACTCAATTCAATCATATCAACATATCTTTTGTCACCCATGAAGATTAAGAAAGTCTTTGCTATAAAAATATCATTTTCATAGCGTTAGGTGCTAACCTCACGTGCCACTCTCTAATTGTGGGATAACACATGACATGTTTGGGTTAGGGTTAGCACCACACGAGCAAATTAATCTCAACGACTAAGAGTGAATGGGACACCACCAAGACTAGTGTTTGCAAAACTTTTATGATGATAACCCTACAGATAATTAGCTCCAAATAATGGCTATCATGAATTCTTTATATGTAATAAATAACATTTAGTACTGCTCCCATGTGCTTTGTTGGGTAACCTATAACATTCAACAGGAAAACTTGATTCAATGCCTCATCAAATAAAAACAATAAAGCAGTCCAACGTTATGTTGGTTTATTAGAATTGTAATTCAATTTGATTGTATTATGAAGTGTTATATGTTAATTGGTTGATATATTATCTACAGTTAATGGATTACAATGAAATTTGTATGTATAAAAAAGATTACGTAAGGTAAATTTTAATTTTTGGTGCAAATAATGTGTCAATTTGTTTGAAAATTTTATTTAAATTTATAGAGTTTATCTAGTTTGAGAGGAGGAGAGATAATTTCGTTTAATCAAATTAAAAATATGTACCTTTTAGTTCTTTTAAATCAAAAAGACTTAGAGAAAAATGAATATGTCATTAAACCCCTTCCAAAATTTCATATTGGAATGTTAGGAAAGCCAAATCAAATTAAATTAAATACATATTAATTAATTATCATGATATACCTACACTTAGGGCCCCTTGCATAGTGATTAAGATAAACATTTCAAGCAACAGGTTGTTTGTCTCTATCTTCACACACCATATCTAACCAAAAAGAAGATTTTTACAGTTTTTTAATTATCACAACCCGACTCCAAGGAGCAAAATTGCACATCAAGCTAATCAAACTAATTAGACACTATGCATATGTACCCTAATTCACTAAGCTTGATATAGACCATATATATATGAACATACCTCCCCATTACCGACATATATATAATCCCTCCTCAAAGAAACAAAAAAGGGGGTCTTTTTTTACCAAACTGTGAAATTTGGTGGTTTTAGTTAAACACAAGTTGGAGTGGTTAAAAAGGTGAGAGAGTTGAAAATTAGAGCATAATAATTCAAAGACAATATAATGTGTGTTTGCCATTCTTGGTTGACTGGATAAGACTACTGGAGTATCTCTCAAGTAAAAAAGGCAGCATTATTCCTTTTACATATGTTTCAAGGGTAGAACCCCAAAGAGCATTAGGTTTAATTGTTCTTTTGTTTTTTGTTTTTTTTGGAAAGCACAAGGTTTAACTGTTCATTTGTGCTCAACCAGCTTTTTGGCACTAAACTGATCCAAATATTAGTTCAATCTTCAAGTATCAAAAAGCAATATGAATCTGTACCGACCCATATAATATACACATTAGGCCGTTTGACAAGACTACATCCACATGTTAGCCTTTTAGCATACTTCATATATGATTTTTTTTAATAAAAACTATTGAATAATAACAAGTACTCTAATAATATTGATTTACCATATTTTTTCAGAGATTTTTTTTTTTTTTGAAATAAAGGGCATTTTAGTTTTTTTTTTTTCCATTTTTTTATAAGGATTGTTTTTCCTTTTTGGTAAAAAGACATGGATATTTTCTTTTTCAACTTCTATTAATAATAATAATAAAAAAGGAACCCTTATAAGTAGGCCTAAACAGGTTGGGCCTACAGGGCTCAGCCCAAAATTAAACCGAAAGGGGAAAATTGTCAAAAGCCCAATTAGGCTAGATAGGCCCATGCTCCCAACACCAAACCCAAATGCTTGCTAGCTAGGTAACCAGATGATCTAAGCACAACTTAGAACCGTGCAGCCACCGGCACCGGATCCCCACTTCTCCCTTTCCCGTTCGAATTTTCGTTCCCCGCATTACGCATTCGTGCGTTCGCACTCCGAGCTTCGGTTCCCCTTCCCCCCATCTCTTCTCCTTCCTGTTTCCTTCCCAATTCCAATTCTAGGGTTTTCGAAGTTCCCTTTTCAATGGCTTCTCACTCCAATCTCGATG